GGCCCTCTCTATATGTATCTCAAGTCATGTGTGTAACCTGAGAGGTTACACTAGTATTACTATAAGTATCAAGCCAAGTTATTTCTATACTTAAATAACGAAAATCTAGTACAAACTATTGACTGACTTTGTTCTTGTATGTATACATGAAAGTGCTGTAAATTAATGAGTGTCTGAGAGGCTAGTGTAAGAAACTTTAGTGTTGAGTTCTTAAGTACTTAGTACAGTACTAACACTCAAGTCTCTCACACATTTGACCTGCTCCTCTGTCATTCTTACCTTCTTTAGTAAGGAGTAGGCAGACTTAACTTTTCTTTCTTACTCAGAGGTGTAGGTAGGGAATTTGGCAGCAAGAAGGGGTCAATAGAGACTTGCTCAAGATTACACACAATTATAATATGTATGATACTCTTATTATATTTTAACTTTTTATAATAGTATACAATAGTTCTTATACTTTAATTTATATTATTTCAATGTTATATAAAGTGCAGAGTTCTTATTATACCTGGAATTATAATTATTATAGAATGATACTATAATTTCTGCACATTATCTACTAGTAGTTTAATATATACTTGTACTTTAGGAAAACTTGTCTATTTTAAATTATAAAGAAAGGAAGACTTTGTCTTGTACGTCTCCAGTGAGTCCCAGGTAACTGAGGGAGGCGGCTGAACAGCTCGAGCGTGTGATCAAGACAATACAGAGCTCAATTGACGAAGAAAGACACTGATTGGTAGTATAGTAAGTTGTTCAACTGGATAAGTAAAAAATATAATGACTTACCGAAATGCAAGACTGTTCATGTCCAGTGCTAGGCTGCAAAGTATTGGGAGCATTGATAAATCGAGCAGCAGACTTGAGTCAGAATCAACAGAGAAGCATGGGATAGCAAGATGTCGAAACAAGGACAATTTCAAGATGTAGCAATGAGGATACTGCCCTGAAGAGACAGACGTGGAAGCAGCATGAGATAACAAGATGTATTGGTTGGTACAAGATAATGAGACAATTACGGAGGAGTGACAAGAAATTTCTCTGAAGAAACAGACGTCCAAGCGTTCAGAGGCATAAGTGATAATTAGAACTGGAAGAAGCCACTGTATACAAATCTAGTTTGGAAGCAAAGGCCAGCCCCTAGTGTCTTCAAGCTAGTCAAATATGCTGACACATGAGAGTTAGTTGTTGGACACAGTGTAGAGCAGAGTAGACATAGATTACACAGTGAAGGACATCTGACCAGGCCAACAAGTGCACACTCACAAAAAATCGAAGTATTTCGTTGCTGTCGAACGTGTTTCGAGTGGCGGCGTGCTTGCAGTGATGAGAGGTCGAGCGTGCAGTTCAAGCGTATGCCAACAATGCAAAGTTGAGGAACGGTATCACTGAACATTTCCACTCCGATGTGATACCGTTTACTGTGACTCAGATCATAGAAAGCGAGTTGCAGTGTGTAAAACGATCAACGGATCGTAATCACAAAATAAAGAACGCATGATCTAAAACTTTCCATAATCGGTACGCTGCGTCACCATTTTACAAAAGGTGACATTCCCGTGTATTGTTACACACGTTTCCCCATCATCGTTCCCCACCCACTTTTGCTTGGGGTGTCGTCTTACCCTTTCCATTGATGCATCCAAATTCTTCCTGGTTTTCCATTCACTTGAAGCTCTTTCGTTAATAAGTCTCTCATGAGTCTCATCATCTTACGAGCGTGTCTCCGAGTCCCTTATATCTCATACCATATTCCCCGTCTCCGGTTTTTTCTCGCTCCTGTTCACTTGCACTGGTCGTGTCTCTTCTTCTGCCGAAGGAGGTCGTTCAACTTGTACCCGATTTTAACTCTCGAAACAGGTGTAGATATATAATGACGGCCTTCTGTCCTTTTCATTTTGTATCCGAAATTCGCTATCGATTTTTGTTCCTTGATCTTCGGAGCGTGATTGGATCGATGTGGGAGCTACTTGACGAAGATGGGCCCCTTTTTGCCAGGATTGTTTATGAGTACATGTGGAACTGCGACAAGGCAGAGATGAGGTATAAGCAAGCAGCTGGGGGACTTCACAGAGCAGCTGTTGAACTGAAAGCACAGGAAGGTATTCAGACTGAGAGATGGGTTAACTTAAGATTGGATACAAACAGTAAGAATCTTTCCTTGCAGTCATTTATTAGTATATTACTATCTCACAAATTTTATGAATAAATAGATAATTTACTATTTACATATAGTACATGCTCACATGAGTATACAAGACATTTTCTTTAGGATTTGTGCTTTTAATACTTTTTTTGTTAATGAGAATAAGTAGTAGTGAGTGGCGGATGAAAAGAAAAGGGGAAAGATATAGAAAAGAGAGGAAAAACAAGGCATGTCATGAGTCATGAAATTTAATAAAAAAAAGCTGGGAGAGAATGGATTAGTATTGTCAGTTGTGATATGATAATGAATACTTACCTTTGAGATGATTACTGGCTTGGCCCACCAGCAGAACCGCCCCTTCTACCATGGGATTGCCTCCTCGGCCTCCATACCGGCTGGTTCCTTGGTGGCGGTTGAGGAGGAACACGTGCACTTGAAGATGGGCCAGGCAAGGAAGGCATTCCTGGCAGCGGTGGCAACAGCACATAATTCATTTGAGGGGCATTTTGCAAACGACGCAAATCTTGATGTTGTCAATGCTGCATCTGTTGGCAACACTGTTGCTGCTCACGTCGCACCATGTCGTCGTACAGCCAAGGGTTATACTGCAGCGGATGACCAGGAGGAGGACGGATTTGTTGTTGCTGCTGTTGACGCTGCCGCCGTTGTTCCTGAACTGCAGCCTCGTAGAGCCAAGGGTTGAACTCCAACGGATGGCCAGGAGGGGGGCGGGGGCGGGGCTGTTGGTGATGTTGCCCTTCTGGAGCTGGCGGCGGCGGAAGCGACCCCTCCATTGCCCAAGGGACGTACTGCAGAGGGTTTTGCTGCTGCTGCTGTTGTTGTTGTTGCTGCTGTTGCTGTTGCTGTTGCTGTTGCGGAAGCGGTTGAGACCGCGTCGAACCCGGCACAACTTCACGGTACTCGACATTGGGATTGAATCGCTAGCAAGCGCAAAGTGAAAGGACACGAGTAAGAAAGGAATGTAGTGTCCAATGGCGGCGAGAAGAAATACAGCCTCGGCCTATAGGCAGATGGACTGCAATCAAGCACAGGCGATCGCTAATTGGGCCGCCTTCGTGCGTAAGAGGTGAATGTATACTTACCACGTTCCTCTGTGGGCCGCCAGACATTTTGAGGTAAGGGGGAAGATGATGCGTTGGTGCGGGACGCAGCAAAGTCCATTTTGGGAAAGTCATACACGTCGAAGTTTATTTCTGCGACAAACATTTAAAATTCACTATAAAATCAGACTTGCATCATTTATTTCAATAATTTGAACAGCATGGATCTCGAAGACACTGTTATCAATCCTGGATAAAAAATCGGAATATTAGTTATTTCGAGTATAATGCAACTATTTTTAGTACTTACACGAGAATAATTATTTTTCGGGCCATCTAAGGCAGCTCAAGCAAACAATGTAGTATAGGTGGATTATACTCGATTAACAGCTGCTGAATACCATGCTTGTGTGCCAGGACCATCACCTATCATCCTCCTGCACATCGAAGAATGCCTGTCCGAAAAAGGAAATGATCCGATACCACAAAGGAAAATCCGATCGTTGCCTCATGTACCTGAGCAAACATCTCATACCGTCGGATGTCCTGGTCAGACACGGAGCGACGAGCAAACTCCATCGCTTCCTCAAAGTGTTCGCACGTGGTTTCGGGCACGGGATCTGCCTCTTCGACGTCTTCTATATCTCCATTGCCCGACTCTTTCTTTTCTCAAGCTCGACGGATATCTTCTTCAATCGATTGGCGAATCGCGAGTTTTGCTGCACGTTGGCAAATTTCCGTCAAATCTGCTCCAGAGAAGCCATGCGTACTCTTTGCAAGACACGTAAGGTCAACATTCTTCGCCACAGGCGACTT